GTCAGATCAGATACAAGGAGCTGAATTCAAAGACACGCCGAAGACCAAAGAGAAAAAAGTGGCTCGTTTATTTCACTGAAATGTCATGTGACCAACTCAAAACGGTTCTCTGTCGTTTGTTTGGCCCCCACGTGATCGTGTGTATGCCCGATGACACCAGGGCCTGCTTCTAATGAGACGACCTGTGGTGTCCTGGGGGCTCCTCCCAGGTCTGGACAAGGCATCACTGAGTTCCTGGACAGTCCGAGCCACCAAATCATTGATACAGAATGATGTTACACAGACCGTGTATGTCGATCGCTCTCCTTCAAACATCTGCATCAGTGCAGGTTAATGTCTGATATCTGGCTGTCATCTGACTGTTGTTCCTCCTCTGCCTGTTCATTTTCTCATTAAAATAAACATTAATAATCATTTGTCCACTGTCACTTGAACGCAGCGTGCATTTGTGATCTTGTGAGAAGCTGAGAGTGTGAAGACGATCTGTTTGTCCGAGGCGACTCTGCATGCACAAAGAATGCAGGCCTGTTCTGGCCTGCTGCTGTTTGTAGCTGCAGTAGCACAAACACAGGAAGAGTCTGACAATCAGAAACATTCATCAGGACAACAGTCAGATTAAAACAGCTGAACCAGTTTCATCAGGTGAACGATCTACGTGGAGGTTTTTTGGGTCATTATCCATCTGCACTGTAACACTGGCTCCACCATGTTGGTCACATGACGTGGTTTCCTTCAGATCACTGGCTGTTTCTCTCCTCCCGTCAGTCCGGTACTATCGAACCTTGGCTTCATGTGTTTTTCACACCTTCGGTCTTTTGTCATAAACATGACTAAACTGCCTGTCAGTCAACTGTCCAATTACTTTTGACACTCTGAAAATGCTCGACTTTGTTTTTTAGACATGAATAAAAACTTTGGTTTAAAATCCTCTGCGGTGACGAGCAGAGTCATCAACAGTGTCGTTATTCAGATACTAACAAACTTAACTGTGTCTCTGTAAACACCTGAGATATCACAGAATGAAGCTTTGAGTCGTAGCAGCACTCGGACCTGTGAAGCAGATGGCTGAGCTGATGTGCCCGAACGCGTCTGAACACTACGTGTAGATAACATGCAGGGACTTGAAGCAGGGCAGACATCTAGAAAGTGAAAGTACAAACATGTAGCCGCGCTGTGTGTAAATATGTCAAAAAAAAACAGAGCTCAACTTTCTCATAAAGAAATATTTTATTCATTTATCCTGTAAACGGTTTAAACTGGAAAATGCACAATCTTAAGAAAAATATGAGCGCAAACCTTGACACTCCTGGACCGTCTGCTCATGTCGTTTCTCCATCTCCCTGGTGGTGGAGTCTGATGTAAAGGGACAAAAACGACAGCTTGTAAAATAATAAACGTCAGTCTAGGAGCTCAGAGATAACGTAGACACTCAGCAGCTATGTGCGGAAAAGCTCTTTTTCATTGACAGCCTTCATTTTCAGCAGGACGATGTTAAACCACACGCAGCAGGACGAGTCCAGGTGCAGCTGCAGCGCTGTGCTGCTGCTGGTCATGAACATTTGGTCCAAGAGTTGAGCTAAGAAACTGAAAATGAGAAACTCGACATTTCAAAATTGAGCCGCCTTCACCTCTGCAGCGGCCGATTCACCTCATCAACAACCTTTTCTGCCTCCTGCGTTCGTTGGCTCGCTGTGCTTAAAAACATCTGAGAAGATGAAGTTTTGTGGAGCTCAAAAGAGAAATACAATCATTTTACTCAGATCTAAAAACATTTAGTGACCAAAACAACTTTAATGTGAATACTTGGAAGTGAAAAGATTCTGTTTCTGATCGTACACTCTGCTTTCTGTTCTCAAATGTAAATGAAGTACACATCTGTGTTGGGTTAAAGCTGTGTGCTCAGAGGAGACGATGAGGCTGAACAGACCAATCGGGATGGAGGCGACGACTCCGGTTGAGCCCTGCCCCCTGGTGGTCATTTGGTGGTATCAGATGGTTAAGCTGCAGATTAAAAAGCATGTTTGAGATAAACCGGAGCACGAGGTGGTGCCTGACTCGACACAGAGCTGAGGCTTTAACGTCTTTCATGGACACGTTTAAACACGTCAACCTGACAGGAAGCTTTTTTTCAATTTCTAGTACTTTAAAAATATTAAATATTTTCTGATATTTTAAATATTTTAAAAACTATTTAAAAATATGGTTGTTGTTGTTGTAGTAATACTTCTGGAATAATTTAGTGGTTCCACGGGAGAGTACAGATACAATTAGTACTAAAAACCTTTAATTTCTTGTAAGACTAATGAAATGAATCAGTGTTGTTGGTATTACGCAGCGTCCACAGTCACATGATTTGATGGATGTGCAGGTTGTGTTTGACGTGTCAGCTGTTTTATACTCAAACCTACTGTAACATAATTACACATTTACAGCTGTTAAAATCCTCTGATGTACAATAAAAAACCTTCTTACTTTAGAATAAAACAGTGTTAAAACTTATAAACCTGTTTAATGTTACGATGACCAGCGCTGCTGGTTTCAGCCTCCTTAAAACACGAGAACAAACATCGCAGTTTCACTTTTCATCTACAGCCTTAAAAGTTCATTTAAAACCAAAAACTTAGTGTTTAAAAACAAAGATTCGATTATTTAAACAGAAAAGTTTATTCTTCTTGTTCGACGGTAAATATTTTTACAAATTGAGATCACGTCATGGAGCAGTGACTCCATCACATTCAGCCGTTTTGTGCAGTAACTTTAAGAAGATGTGGAAATGTTTACTTTCAAACGCTGAAAAGCATCTTTGGGCGTCGATCTGAAGCGTCGACCAGCGCGTCACTGAGCCGTGTTGATCCTCATCCAGCAGGGAGACCTTCCCTCTGCTGTGGCCTGCTCTAAGCAGCCCGATATCAACCTTCACATTTTACCCAGAATGCACTTTGTGAAGTTTTCTCCGGTGAATCAAATTGATCAAACAGCGATGCTCGTTCCTGCTCGCGTGTCGGGGGTTAGGGTTAACACCTCCACGTAGCCGGAGAACCTGCAGCTCTGTTACATCAGCGGAGTTTACTGTACAAATACATCAATCAGCTGATTTTCTACGAGCACTGAAACGTGATGCTGACGCTAAACTGAGCACAGACTGACGACAAACAGACGCGTCAATGTTTCGGCGTAAAGGCCGACATTTGTTTATTCCAGCTTCCAAACAGTTCATCTCAAACATTTTACAGTTTTGGTTTTAGTAACAGGCATCACAAAGTCCACAAACCTGAAGCATCCACGTTTCAAACGTCTCAGCGGGAGTTCAGGCCACGCCTCCGTACTGAGCGTCACAGTGGGGCGTGTCCTCTAACGAGCCACACAGGAAAATAAGAATAAGCCATAAAAACCTCGTCAGTGGTCGAACTGAGCAAACCGGTGTTCAGCGGCTGTTTAGTCCGAAGTTCAGGAAACTCTATTCCACGACTGAAACGATCCACCGCTCGTTCATGATCGACCTCGGTTCTGATCCGGACCTCGGACTTGTGCTGACGGGCGCGTAATGAAAAGAAGAATTAAAGAGCGGCGAAGTCCAGGATGCACAAACTGAGGAACTGAAACACGGGAGGGAGGGGGGACGAGTCCTCGCTCGGTCGGGTTTAGCCCTCGTCCAGAGTCACAGTGTTCACTCCGACGCCTCTCCATCATCGTCCTGCTCTCGTCTCACAGTTCGGCCGAGCTGCAGCCGGATCAGCACCATGATTAGAGCGTTCATCATCCCGACGTGCCGGCTGCGCTCAGGCCGAACACATGCCCGTATCACGCTGGATCAGACCCGTCGGGCTGAGCTTCGTTTCCCCCTCAGACTGAAACGTGTTCTCCAACAACGCCAGCGCACGACCTGCTGTGACTCTGATCACATCACAGAGAACGAAAGGCTGAAATCAAAGAGTCAAAATGATTTTTTAACTTTTTAAATCAAACGTATTAATGTTTACATGTGTCGAGTTTGCACGAAGGACAGGAAACTGTTGCACAAAGTTAGAAACTAAACACAGGCGGGGAAACATGGGCGCAGCTGCAGGGTCACAGTCAGGAAACACCTTCACCTGCATTCTACCTGAACGCCACCAGAGGGCGACAAAAATACTTCCAGTCCTACAGAAGTCTGGGGAACCAATGACCTCTGACCTGTGTCAACTGCTCATTTTGGGTCATACTGAATAAATCATCAAGTCTGTAAATTTTGGTCACACCAGGTTTTAGGCGACAGCAGCCCCGCCTGTGAAACACGGCGTCCCTGCCTCGCTTCTGTTCCTCGGTGTCATCGATCTGTAGCAGACAAACAGCCCGGAGCACCGTGAGCGTGCTGACAGAAGGGAAAGCGTGATACGGGCACGTCTGTAACGTGTTCCTCGCAGGAAGTTCAAGCTTCACGTCGCCTTTCACAGGAAAACGTTTATCGGCGCGTCAGCCTGAACAGGAAGCTTCATCCAG